CTTTATCTGTGTCATCGCCTCTGTATCTCAAACCGATGTATGTACGGTGCAACTGCGTGCCATGCCTGAATTTTGACCCTTCGTGTATGCTCGCAATGCTGCACGTGACTCTTGCAGAAGTGTGTATTCTTGCCAAGGGTAGAAAAAGCTTCATTTTCTCCCTCAAATTTGAAATCCCTGCCGATTGGAAAGCTATGGCATTGCTACGGAATAAATGAATAGTAATTTCAGAGATGGCATACAAGTGCATATTTTACAACAATTATTATTTGTCATTTGTTAATTTTTTTCAGAAAACAATTTTTAATTGAGAATTGTTCGTTTAAAATGTTTCAAATTACTGACTTACAAAGCCAGATCCGGTTGGTTCATTTGAATATGCAAGTTAAATTTGTGCGTACACGCACATCGCAGCTGTCGCAAGCCAATTCACGAAAACATATCTCTTTGACTCGAAAAAAACCACGAACTGCTGGTTGGTTATATTACATGAGAAAAGCAAGAAAATATAATTAGACAGCTGCGATAACGTATAGCCATGATCGCAAAAGTTTAAATCTACCTTGTGTCTTTTTGCTCCCCTATAAAACACATATGACTCGAACGTATAGGGAATACAGAAAGCTGCGCTCTAACATTAAGCTGCACATGATTGCGAAAAATAAAGAAAAACCACTGCACCAAGCTTTGAAATTATTTTGCCTCAGTTGCATATGGGTTTTATACGTATGTATGTACGGTGTCTAGCAAAGAGCGCGGAAAGCAATCGAGAAAGTTCGCAACTATACACGCTCGAGATTGATGAACTCGTCGTCGTCCTCGCGAGCAACGAGCTACCGCCGCGAGAGATCGATTCGAGCTTCAAACTCAACCCCTTGTATATTGATTGCTTTTTGCGGTATTGATCATTTGACGAAACTTGGTTGTTTATTATTACATGAGTTATATACATAATATCGGCGTGCAATAATAATAATTCATTGCGGTAAATGTTATTATAAATGCCTTATTATGATGGCATTGAGTAATCAAGGACTGATTTTATTATTTTATGGTGATGGAAAAGAAACCTCATATATTATCAGCGTGTGGGAAAATCTTAAAATCGATTTCCTGCTTTCTGTGATAAAAAGTCTGTCCCTATTTCACTCAACTTTGAATTTTTTAGATAGGATCAAAACTTAATACCAATAATCAAATAAGATGCAAATTTGTTAAACATGTTTATATGCACTGATAGAAATATCGTCCGTTTCGACCATCGAAACGATTAAACAAATAAGAAGAATTTTGTACTAATTCTTAGATATTTTTATTGTATAAATGTTTTCTCGGAAATCATTTGTTTTTTTTAAAATACAATTACTTTAGTTTATTACTGCCCCTGATCATGCTATATCATGAATTTTTTACGATAATGTAGCAAAAAAATCTCGAAATAAATTTTTATCAACAATTTTAATGTTTTTATGGATTTATCTGTTTGGAGCAAGATGAATTTTGGAGTTGGTGTTTTTAATTTACATAGATAATGTTATGTCACAAGCGCTCTGACGTATTTAAGCACACCTTGTTTTTAAATGGTCCATGCACTGGTAGGTCTTTTACGTGGTGCACAATCACTAGTTCTTAATAATATATCGGCAGAATCATGCATTTCTTTTCGAATTCGTTATTTTTTTTTTTCATTCGAAATCTGCATTGCAACAATGGAATTTAAATATTTAACGAAAAATAAAATTTTTTCATTGATCGAACATTTTTGTTCAATGGACGAATGAGTAAAGCGTCAAAAATTGAGAGCTCTTGCAATATATGAAAAAAAATTCGTATAAAATTCATAAAAATCAAAAGTAGTCACTATTAAATGTTTAACGAAATCCGCTTATGTAGCTGTGAAACAATTTTTTAATATCCTGTAGAATTTTAAACGAAGCTTTTAATTATGCAGACGTGCCATTAAGCTTACATTATAAACTCAACTTTTTGGGTTTTAGCCTTTGGACCCGATGGTGTATTTATTATTGACATTGAAATAAGTTGATACAATTGGAGAGCAAAATGAAGTATTTGAATAAGACAGAAGAATGCCGTCGAAATTATTAAAAATTATTGATGAAAATATTATTTATAAATTGTTCTTATATTAGCATGGCTATATTTAGGTAAAAATTTTAAATATTATCGCGTACGAGAAGAATGTGATGTCATCTGGAACTCTTAAAAGTTTGTACAACAATCGATCGATTAGTACATTTTCTTGCTCAAAGTTTCGCTTTCGCGAGTATTTTTTTTCGGCAAGGTTGGGTGCTTTTGCAGCCTTGACCTTCAAGCACGCAACTCACGAAAGCACCGAAAAAATAGAGCTTTATAGAGTATTGCTAAAGCATCCAAGCAAACTAAAAAGCCGCATCATTCCACAACTTGCGATGTTCCATCTTAAAGCTATGGCTTTATACGAGTCACGAAATACTGTCTGCATCACGTGCGCGAGCGTACAGCCCAATGGGTTGCAACGCGCGAGCGCATGGCTCTGAATGATTTTATCTCGAAGCCCTTTTCTATGGGGTTTTATATAGCTGTGTGTGGGTCTGTATGAGTGTGTCTGTGCCAGTGTGTGTAGTTATAAAGGTAGGTTTAAGGCCGTATGTACGATGTGCCTTCGCGTGAGCCTATATAGGCTTTGTTGCGCTATATAACGTATAATAGTCAGAGGCGTATTTGCTGAAATAAAAAGGAATAATGGCAAAGAGGAAGAGCGAGCTCGAGAGGTAGACTCTGCAGCTAGCAGCTCGGCTAAGAAAAGGGGGACTGTATTCAACAAAGTTGCCAAGTCTATACTGCTGCTGCTGTTGCTGCTGCGCTCCCAAAGATATATCTACGTGCATGTTAAGGATAGAGAAAAAGGTTTTATCCTATACGTTATTACACGCTGAGCGCACTGTACAGGCACTGCTGCATCTCAGATTAAAGAAAGAGAGAGTTAGAAGAAAAAATAGCAAGATAGTCATCGACGAGGGGTTTCTCTTGATTAGTGCGCTCATTGTTATCGAATCTTGTGTAAGCTTCTTGGAAGTTAATATTCTGCATTTATCATTTTTTCATCGACTGCTTAAAGGTTCGCGGAAAGACCGAGAGTCAGAATAAAAACGAAGAAAAAGAAAGAGGGTCCAAAGAAGATGAACTTGAATGCATTGTGAGCGGGCGATTCGTAAACGCCGTTAATGGCTTCGAGAGCCCAACTTTCACTTTTTCTGAGACACTTTTTGACGTACAGTCGTATTTATGTAAATCAGTGCCCAACGAAAAATACGCGAAGGCTGCTGCAGAGAAAATCAGTTGCTTACAACGTATTTAAAATCATCAGAAATGTCATCTTTCGAAAACATCATCTTCAATTTCGTAAAAAATAAATGCACGCATTAATTGGTTACACGCGGGTGAACACTAAAGTTATGCAACCCACAAAAATACGTATATAAGTTGCGGCAATTGATCTCACTTTCTTTTTTTTCGGCGCTCGTCGCAGCATCGCCTACTGCAGCTTATTAAACGCATGATTTATATTTTTTCAATGACCAATATATGCCCATGCAAACGTCAATGCATCGCGCGAGTAAAAATTTATGTTTTCTTAAATGCAAATCATATTTCTTATATACACACTCTTGGCTCGAAATTCACTTGAGTGTGCGCACAGGGTTATTCCAGCGCTATATGCCTCTTGAAAAATGCCGAAAGTTTCTTTTTTTGTCGCGCAGACAAAAGACTCGCGAGCATAATAAAACTACCTTATATACATAGCTCGGGTGGCAGCGCGCTACTGCACACAACACACTGCATTTTCTCCCGCATTTTCGTGCTCTTTATATCGAAGGCAGTTAGTGTGTGTGTGTGTGAGAGAGAGAGAGAGAGAGAGTCACGCATCCGTGTCGGCTGGAAATTTTAAACTGCACAACTCGAATGCTAAGCTTTCGTGCAAGAGAGAGAGAAAGAAAGTCACTTATTCGCGGTTAAAATTTACAATGATACGAATACCGCAAAAAGTAATATACGTATTATGATACACTTATATTAGAGAGCAAGCCTATGTCAAGGTAAAAAGCCATGGGAACGCAATAACTTCTGATGAAAAAAAAACGTAAGCTGGAAGATTTTTGGGCGAGTTTTTGTAAATATATTCTTAGCTATTCATTAAAGACGCAGTTAATTTGCCAATTCGAGGAATCAAAGCTGGAATGTAACTGGCTGCGCGGAGGCCATTATCGCACGGGCGAAGGGCAAACATATAATTATGTATTACACACCGGTGCTGCCGGCCCAAGTCTTACGTGTGTAGACTCGAGCGCAGGTGCCTTCCGTGTGGATGTAGCTTAGACGGCTTTTGCAGCAGCATCCGTACAAAAGGGGAACGACGAGGGAGAGAGAGAGAGAAAGAGGAGAAAGAGAGAGGCAAAGGCACGCGGCGCGCTCGATGCGTGCGCAACTGCTGCTGCTGCTGCTGCACTGCATATGGCGAAGAGAGTCGTTCGCATGCGAGAGAGAGTAAGAGAGAAAAAGAGAGAGAAAGAGAGAGGCGAGGGGAGCAACGGCGAACCGCGTGCGCGGCAACTTGTCGGCTCCGTGAGCGAGCCGAGCGCGCCGAGCCTCCAGTGATGCCTCCACCGCGGCTCTGAGCGCTTCGAGCCCGCACTTTTCGACATTCGATCTATTAATAGTCTGGCGTTTGCCGCCCCGTGCAGTCTCTCGTAGGCGCATCGCGAGTGCGCGCGACCGACCAATTCCAACTGGAACATCGTTTTTGCGCGAGAGTGGATTCGTTATGCTTCTTGCTGCTTAGTGCGTGCTTCCAAAAGTGATGCGTGCAGTTTCCCAAGTGCGCTCTTAGTGCGCCTCGTGCTCGTGCTCGTGCGTGCGTGTGTGTGTGCTGTGCTGTGCTGTGTACTGTGTGCGACAGAGTGTGAAAACGTTAACTAGTGTGCCGCCGCAGAATGAGAACCATGGCGTGGACGACGATCCTGCTGCTCGTGCTGGCGCAGCTTTTAGCGAGCTGCGGTCGCGCCGTCGAGGTCAACGACTCCGACGCGGCGAGCGACAAGCCGCTCGAGATACGCCGCTGCTGTCGCCTCCAAGAGGACCTCGAGGATCCGGGCAAGCTCGCGGACGGCCTGCCGCGATGCGTGCCCAGCCCCGAGCCCTTCAATCCCGAGGTCTACTCGCCGGAGATCGGCAACTTCTTGCCCCAGCCCCCGATCTCCTGGCGATTCCTCGAGAACACGAGGCCCGTCTGCCGGCCGACCCAGCAGTTGCGCTTCATTCCGCGCAACAAATTCAATCCCTTCGTGCTGCTGTCGTCCGGCAACGTCTACGTCGAAGTGGGTAGCGAGACGAGCCTAGCGCCCGACGAATACTGCCTGGGCTCGAGAACTCTGCTGGCCTGCATGCCGAGAAAGAACGAGAGCCTCCAGGCAGCTGCCACCATGCGGCCCAAAATAAGGAAGTGCTGCGGCGAGAACGCCATTTACGACGTCGAGAGGTGAGTCGAGAATCGCGATGGAACTGCCGAGTCGTCTTGGCTGTTATTATACATCCTGCAATTTGGGACGGCGCGTCGAGTGACAGGTGTTTCAGCTCCTTAACTTACGCACGCGAGCGCCTGGCCCGCAATGCTGCAAACAATTAAGTTTCCGCAGCTTATACTAATGAGTTTAAATACTCCGGGGACGAGTTCGCGTATGAGAACGTTCGCTTGGCTCTTCGCTGTCGCCGCTTCATATTGTGGCTTTCGCCAAACAAATCCCTTATTTATGTCAGACGATCTGTTTGTGGATTTTCGCAAGTGATGACTTTTAATCTCCATCGTGTTTTTATTTAAAATTATGAATCAACCGATATGTGTCGAATTAAAAACTGCGGTAAAAGGACTAATGCATCACTAATTCTTGTAATCTTTGCCAAATTTATACGGCACTTTTTAATTGAACCTGGAAGGGTTAAAAAATTCATAAATCAACAGTTATTTGTCTTTTACGTTTATTTTCAGTTTTTTTATCTCACTTGGCTTTAGCACATTCTCGTCGAACTTTGGTCAAAACATATTTTTGAATTGTCCCATCTTCGAACTTTTTATTATCGATGCATCAATGAGTTTTAAGGAGCATACAATAACTATTTTTTTCTAAACTTATATTCTGAAGATTTCGCTCAATTTTTGTAGAACTGCGCGGATGACATATAATATTAATAACTGAACGAGGAACACAACTTAACGAAAATGTCAAGTTCCGAAGTTATTATGCTTTTTAACGATTTTATAAATGTTTTTTGCACAATCCGATCAATAATAAACATTAGCCAAACCTACGGATGTGTAAAAATCAGAATTTTCAATAGCGAATAAATGTTGAAATCGATTTTAAATTAAATGCAAGTTTATGACAGTGCTATTCACGCGATACAGAAATAGTACTGAATTCTTCCCCACCGCTAATATTTTTAACCTTGAAAAAATCGTCGCTTTACTTTATCAAGTTGCGGATCGCCGCACTGCCGGCCAAAATTAGCGGCTATGCCGTGCTGAAATCATTGTTTATTTTCAAACAAATATTTTTGCTATTTGCCGCGACGAATGAATGCGCGGGCGTGCGACGCCAATTAAAAGCGAAAAACTCATATCTCAAGCCGCAATAACAATAAATTGAAAAGTCGGAGTGGAAAGTACGACGAAGCCGTTTGCTTATTTTGATGTCTGCGATTTTCAGGCAGTCCTGCTTCCACGATGGGAAAACGTCGATAATCACCGAGCAGACCCTGCTCGTAGGCAGCAACGAAAACAACCGAAAAATGGCGGCGATCGTCGAGATGGTCGGCGGCTTCCCGACCAAATGCCCCAACGATTACACCCTGATCGACGAGCTGTACGCGTCCGAGCTCCAGGCGGATGGCAGTCTCCAAGTCAAACACAAGTTGGTGCCGGCCGAGGAGTTCTGCATCGAGAGCGTTCAAGCTGTGGACAGCGAGCATCTGTTGCCGGTCAAAGTGTTCGCTTGCTCGGAGCACGCGGCTGAAAGGTAAGCGGTGTATTCGCACAGAAAACGCACATAAAATCGTTCGCCTCTCGTTTCGGAAGTTTGCCAAGCAACTTTGCAAAAATACATGTCCAAAAAGTCGAGAGAGAGAGTCCAAACATTGCGATCTTTTGCCGTGCCGCACACGCGCCGGCCGAGCGGATAAGCGATCAAACTTTCATTGCCATAGTCCGCATATATACCGCTCGCACGCGCGCAACTTTGAATTATTAATTTTCAGCGGGGGGCACATCGCGCGCGAGTCCCAACTTGTGGCTGGCGAAACGCTTGCCGCCAACTTTTCCCGATTATATGAATTTTGGATGACAGGTACTTGCTGCAGTTGATGATCCTCTTTTCAAAAGTACCCCCAGCTGCCTTATGACTTTTTATTCTGTCGGCTTAGTGCTCACAATCGCTTGCTAATTAATTTTTATGAAAACGGATTTTCTTACTGTAATGCTGCATAAGAAACAAAGTAAATTAATAAAGCCGTGACAAAGAGAATCTCGTCGTGAAGGTTTTAGTCGAGACAAAGTCCATCGGTTCAGCAAAAGTTCGGTTACTTTTATTCCGTAACGTTATTTTTTTCCTGTTAAATATTAATTCATGTAAATAACCAGTTCCTTTTCATATTTTCATTAATACATTTACTTGTTGCGTTAATTAAATTTTGTATAACAATGCGCATTTTCGCGAACGAAAAAAACTTTAATTAAAAACTTGAATATTTATTTTAAAAATGATTCTTCACAGCAATTAACGAGAGTTCTTGAATATTCTATTAATTAAATTATCTATAAAAGAAATCGTACTCTTACAAATTGTACGATCATCATCGTAATAAATTTGAAATAGTTCGAATTGATGCTAAAGGTACAATCACCATTAGAAACAAGTAACTAACATAAGTATCTGCATTCCAAGCCTCATGGTCAGCGCTCGCGATTCGAATCATTGCTCTAAAATTCAGTCCACGAAATGATCTTACAGAGCGCAGATCAGCGCGGAGAAATCGCGTGCGCGTGTCCTATTGACGTCAAGCTGGGAAAATTAAAACTTGTGCAGAGAGGAGCAGGCTCTAACGCGCATGCATTATATATATGCGCGAGGCTGGCGCGTTTGTTTGAAAAATATCGCTTTCGCCGCTTGCAGACGCGCGTACGCCTGCTCTCTCGACGCAGTCTATATATCCCCAAGAAACTTTCTCTGACCCGAATTCCGCGCGCCAGTCGCTTCATTCATATAGATATACAAAATGTGTACACGGTGTACTTACGTACGAAGGCGAAGCCGGACATAGCCAAAGAATCCTGTGCTCGTGAAAAACTCACGGTATATAAAGAATCAAACTGGTTTCATCTGACGTAATTCATAATATAAATAATGACATGTTTAGAACCGGAGCTTATGTTGGATTGTGAGCGTAACGAATGACGTATTTACTTGGACATTTTTTTAACGTACGGGCACACCATCAAATGAACGCCAAGTTTCGTCTCTTTTTGTCCTCAAAAACGTGGTAAAAAATACAAGAACCATCGATTTATAATCATTTACAATATGACAATGCGTAACAACATGTTTCCTAATCATTCCATTTGTTTTTTAAAAATTTTTATGTTTCCTATGTGTCAACTTCAATAGAAAGTTACAAAATGTCAAGTTTGTCAAACATGTATTTGACGCTTTGAAACCTAACGAAAAAAAAGTAAATAAAAATTACACATGCTCTTACAGAATGGGAGTCGCAGTACGAGACATAAGATTCACTCTATATCCGGTCGGCTTCATCATTAGTGCAGTATTTCTAGCAGCGACTCTGGCAAGTGGATGGCTGCTGCCGAGCTCGCATCACCTACTGCACTGGCGATGCCAAACGTACCACGTTACCTGCCTCATGCTCGGCGACATTACCATGGCCATCATTCAGTTGGGCGGAACGTCACTTCAGGGCGAGTTCTGCCGTGCTCTGGGTAAATTTTTCACTTCTTCTTTTTTTTTTGTGACTCAACTATACTTGCAACTCTTGAAACTGAAAAGCAATAAAATAAAAAGCAAAGTTCTGTGCACTACTCCGGGAAATGGTGCGAAAAAACAAAATAAAAACTAAACGTCACATGGTCTTATTGCATGCATAGGGCATGAGAGAGAGAGAGAGATTCGTATAAGCCCCGTCTCGTGTGAAGGGAGTGCGCATAGAGGCTCTTTCCTACCCTTTATACATCTCTTGCCAAGCGTCCGTTATGAGCTCACGTGCTTATTGCATTTTTTTCAGCCAAGTCCTTCTTGTATGCTCGACGATACAGGCTGTATATATAGTTGCTCTGCACTATTCGCCACTCATTTAACGAAACTTATTTCACATGTCGGCTAAAAACTTTGACAACGAATGTCGAAAAAGTTTTAATTGCGTAGGCTTTCTATTGTATGGTTATTACAATTATAAGACTAAGCTGATGGAGCATTTTCACGAAAATGAGTAATACATTTCTCTCGCATTACACTACTGCAAAAGTATCTCAATATACAATTGACAAGTTTTATCATTTTACGTAACACAACCTCCTCTCTCTCCTTCTCTTTTGATTAGATGATACGTAAGTGAGGTAACGTGTATAATTAAGGGAAAACCCATTCCAAATGTAAGCAAACTCCTAATTGAAAAAAATTCAAACTCGACCGAACTGCCATTATCGGCGTTGAGTGCGTCGAGAGCGGAAATCGATCAAATATTTCACGGTTTTCACTTAAAAAAGCCTCAACATGCTCGCGATAGTACTTATCACTGGTTGAAACCAAAGGAATGTGCATTTTAAGCTCGTATGCACGGATGTATGTAGCCTTGTGTGGGATTTTTAAGACACAAGGAAGCACATAATACGTATATAATGCGTGAAACCGAAAGTATTATATGTCATTGACCCTCGCTCTCCATATATTATCTTGCTCTCTGCAGCTCTCTTGTTTATTCGAGCAAGACCGAGTGGAGACGCCTACCCATATATGCCGCTCGCTGCAGCGGTCGTTTTTTTTTCGTTTTTTCCCTGCGTCTCTTTCACTCGTGTAAACTCGATGAAAGAAATCAAGAGATGTACTTATCACGCCGCTGCGTCTCGTTCTTTTTTTTATTTTCTTATTCAAGTGTCATCTTGATTATATTTTTTGGAAAGTAACGGGCAGTATGAGAAAGACTCCAGAAAAATTCTCGTGATATATACTTTGGTATATGTAAGTAAGGAATGTGGAAACATCGTGTAAATAGGTACAGCTATATATAACGCGAAGCGCAAGAAAAAGTGAATCGAAGGAACGAAACACGTATCAAAGCACAGACATCAGTTTAGCAAGTGTCCAATTGTTGTACGCAGCTAAAGGCTGTTTCGGGAATCGTTATTCTATCCAAAGCTGATCATAGGACTGCAACGATACACGTACGACACGCGGGATACAGATCCGCGGTGTACTATTTACAACGTGAATTCCCGTTCAAAAGTTTATCCGGTATTTTTTAGTCCTCGCAGCCGTTGGTCTTCGCGTCGAGGTTACTCACACTGCACAATGCATCCGCCTGGGGATTTTTTTGTTTTCCTTTATATTATTGAGCGCGACGCAGCTTTTAGTGCGCATACATCCACGGTGGAAATGTACGCGCACACGCACGCATACACCCAGTCCATAAATCTTCAGCTGCCAAAACGCGTCGAGATTAATCCGAAGCCGCAGTGGTAGAGGAAGGGGCAGAGATAAATAACAAAACGTGGTATACGTGTACGCGGTACACAGGTCGTGCGAACGACGTGATTATTACGCGCAGCTTTATATACGTGATACGTTCCTCTATACACACTCTTACACACGAGCTGATGTGATCTATGATCGAATACCAATGGGCAAAGACAAATATCGAAGTAATCATGGTTGCTCGAAATTCCGGCGCAGTCGCGCTATGCACTCGCCGTTAACGCTTCGAAGCGTTATGCGTGTGAATTGTGTGCATGTATCCGAGCCGATTTGTGGTAGCCGCGCGCATTGTTTTGATTTAACGAGGTCGTTTATACACGGCTAATGGCCGGCTTATTATACGACGAACTGCCTCCTACACACGTGCCGAATTTCACGCTCGCTCCAAAGTCGTCTTGGTCGTCGTCTAGTGCATAAATATTTTCCGCGCGCACCCGGCGTTGCTCTACGGCATTTATGCTAGGTCCTGTTTGTCGTATTGCCTTATCGAACTGCTGTTGCGTTCATGCTCGAGTTCACCCTCGCATCTCTCTGCCGTCGAGTACCTACATGTACACCATACCTATGCGTATGCTGTATATACGCCGAGAGAGCAACTGCGCGTCAGATACGTATAGGCACTTTGGCTGTTGAACACACGTGTGTGCGTGCCGTACGCAGCGACTCCGACTGCGCAAGCTATACTATACATCTGCTCTCTCTCCCCCCCAGCTTCTCTATATCATTTCTCTCTGTAGCTGCACAAACACCGCGTGTGCACGCGTATACATCGGAAGAGCATATATATCGATGGCACACGTGTGCGTGCAGTTGTAGCCAGAGACTAGGAGAAGCGAGAAGGTGTCCCGAGACCTATACATCTATAGACTTGCGTACATGGCGAGATGTATGTATTTGCCCAGACATTCAAACTTCTCTCGACTTCGTTCTGTCCGTATATGTACACGAACGTATGAATACTCGCCACCGCTACTGCTGATGCTGCTGCTGCTACTACTTCTACTATACTATTGCTGCTGATTCGTGAGCAGAAACAACGCGAACGTCAAGCTCTCGAATTATCTACCCTTTATCCCGTATATTCGAAGCTGTGAGAACCTCTATCCGCGCGACGAGGCCAAGTCGTCAAGCCGCCGCTGCTGCTGCTGCTGTTGCTGCTGCTACTGCTGTGTGTGAATTACCTTTAATTAGAGACTCTAATTGCAATTACATACGTGTCCTCGTGGAGCAGCTCAGTGAATGGTATTTGGCACTACTATATATATTGTAGTCAAGTTATTTTACTCCCAGTTATACTCCCGTATATATAACTATACATTGACAGGTACTTGATGGAATTTCTCGCGCTCGATTATATTTCAGCTTTTTTTTTCAACTCCATCAATTATATTTTTTTTCTTTCTGATCCTGACGCGAGCTCGTTGCTATAGCTGAAATAATGCGACAAGCGATGAATTGTGAATAAACGTCGACGAGAGCTTGAAATTATCGATCGATGACGCTGACACGGAACAAGTCCGCGCGACATTTGACGCCAACTACGGTGCGAAGCTGAACATTTAACATCTGCATAGCCTTTTAGCGAATCGAGCGCAATGCCGAATATACGTATGCAACTGCCACGACGTTTTTAAGGTGGGCACAACAAATCGATAGTTTGCCCATTAAAAGCTCCGAACTTGCAGGAGGAGTTAAATGGAGCATCGATATCCTATTATTATACAGTCTCGCTCTCTTCTAGTACACAACTATGTTTACCAACGTCGCTTTATCGTTATTTCCAGCCTGCGTAACAGCTTGCAGTGTCTTAATCGCACCGCCGCATGTATTTATTTACGAGATATACGGATACTCTGCGTATATGAACACTGGTAACAATCTAGGGCCTCGGACTTTGAGCTTTTATACGACAGCAACAGTAGCAGCGACACCGTCAGTTACGCCGTTGAATTCGTGACGTACGGCACGTTTGTTTTCTCGATTGCCTATCACTCGGACTACCGACTTGTCGCGTTCTCTTCGATTTATTACATTAATAGGCCCAAATTGAACTTAGCTGCTTTCAAATGATGATAATTATCGATGCTGACAATTTTGTTCGATACAAAACCCAAAATAATGAAAATATTACTCTGGTCTACACAAACAATTTGAACGGCTTTAACAATATAAGATTAAATTTCAGCTTAGAGAGCTGCCATAATTCAATTTGACTATTGCTGTATATACTCCTCTATCAGCTTCTGAAGGGTAAAAAATGTTAGTGCAGTGTACTCAATCTCGTATTATTGGCTTACATCTCTCGGACGGTAAAAGCTTGGAAAAAGTAAGCAATCGTTTCTGGGTTTTACTTTATCGATTCTTTCACAAAAAAGTGGTACATTTTTCATGTTATTGAATTTTAGTTCGGTATTGTTCAAATGCTATGAACAAAAAATGAATTTAGATTTATAATAAAAAAATTATTATCTTTTAATTGGACACAACAATATTTGAACTAAAGAAACATTGTTTACTCTACAATCAGTCCGTATAAAATTATTCATCTCTGCTACAAATTTACCACGACCAGCTAAAACAAAAAATCCTTGTTCTTCTTCGTTATAACGAGAGAAACAAAAGCAAAGTAAACGAGCGAATCTTTTGAAAGTAAATACCATTGCAAGTGGCTGGCCATGTTATACGGGATTACTCTGGAAACATTTTAAAATTCACACGCAGGACCTGCACGATGTAAAATATCTCACTATGTGCCTTGAATGAGCTGCAACTATTATACTATATCTGCCTTGAAATATAATATACGTTCAGCCTCTTCAATTTCAACATCCGGATATACGGTGGGTGTTCGAGAGAACAAAGACTTATACTATGCATTAGTATGGTGCGAGATAAAAGTAAAAGTTTTAATTTAAAATTTAATAGAAAGATTAAACCATTTCGATTTGGGTAAGAAGGTACTGAACGATATTCGCCGTAGTGTGACTTAACATTAAATCTCCACTTACCCACTGAAAATGTTCTAAACTTTCAGAAAAAATGTGTTCAAAATTACTAGCTCAATCAAAAACCAGAAAACAAGCTGATTTTTTTAATTTTGCTATTTTTGTTATTTTTCAAAGTTATTTTCATGTTTTTCAATACTCTTTGATTTTTTCCATATTATCAATATCGATTAAAATTTTATAATATCGATATAAATTCGATTTTGTAGAGAATCGGTCATTTAGGG